ATTCATCTGATGTTCATCAAAGACATTACAATATACCACTATGTCACCTCGATATTCATCTGATGTTCATCAAAGACATTACAATATACCACTATGTCACCTCGATATTCATCTGATGTTCATCAAAGACATTACAATATACCACTATGTCACCTCGATATTCATCTGATGTACATCAAAGACATTACAATATACCGCTATGTCACCTCGATATTCATCTGATGTTCATCAAAGACATTACAATATACCGCTATGTCACCTCGATATTCATCTGATGTACATCAAAGACATTACAATATACCGCTATGTCACCTCGATATTCATCTGATGTACATCAAAGACATTACAATATACCGCTATGTCACCTCGATATTCATCTGATGTACATCAAAGACATTACAATATACCGCTATGTCACCTCAAGATTCATCTGATGTTCATCAAAGACATTACAATATACCGCTATGTCACCTCGATATTCATCTGATGTACATCAAAGACATTACAATATACCGCTATGTGACCTCAAGATTCATCTGATGTACATCAAAGATATTACAATATACTGCTATGTCACCTCGATATTCATCTGATGTTCATCAAAGACATTACAATATACCGCTATGTCACCTCGATATTCATCTGATGTTCATCAAAGACATTACAATATACCACTATGTCACCTCGATATTCATCTGATGTTCATCAAAGACATTACAATATACCGCTATGTCACCTCGATATTCATCTGATGTTCATCAAAGACATTACAATATACCGCTATGTCACCTCGATATTCATCTGATGTTCATCAAAGACATTACAATATACCGCTATGTGACCTCAAGATTCATCTGATGTTCATCAAAGACATTACAATATACCGCTATGTCACCTCGATATTCATCTGATGTACATCAAAGACATTACGATATACCGCTATGTCACCTCGATATTCATCTGATGTTCATCAAAGACATTACAATATACCGCTATGTCGATATTCATCTCATCAAAGACATTACAATATACTGCTATGTTCATCTGATGTTCATCAAAGACATTACATCAAAGACATTACAATATACCGCTATGTGACTTCGAGATTCATCTGATATACATCAAAGACATTACAATATACCGCTATGTGACCTCAAGATTCATCTGATGTACATCAAAGTATCAAACTAGTCTTTCAACAAGGTTTCACACTTCACACATGGAACCTTTATTTTTGCCATGACATGTTCCAGGGATACAGAGAGCGAAAGTGATCATAACCCCTGGAATATCGAAGATGGGGGTAGGGGTGGGTGGGATATATATCCTAAGAGATAACTAATTAGATCAACAGATCTCTTGTTCTGTGTATTAACATGTGTCGTTACTTACATGGTTTAACCCTAAACTGTGAAGAAATCAATCCAGAAACAAGCGATATATTGATGCTTTATCACAAAAACAGAAACTTTAAGGTAAAACACGATATTAGAAAATATTGTTAATTATCTGGTCCTTATGGCTTTATGTGACATTTATTTGGCAGCTAGGAATCTAACGACATAGTAAGGTTTAGTGAATTACAAAACAGTTCTGTACTATCGCTATCTGTGTTGACAGTAGTTTAATAAGGGTACTGATAGGATATGTATCACGCTACCATGGGTACTGATAGGATACGTATCACAATACTTGGGTACTGATAGGATACGTATCACGCTACCATGGGTACTGATAGGATATGTATCCCGCTATCATGGATACTGATAGGATACGTATAACGCTACCATGGGTACTGATAGGATACGTATCACAATACATGGGTACTGATAGGATATGTATCACGCTACCATGGGTACTGATATGATATGTATCCCGCTATCATGGATACTGATAGGATACGTATTACGCTACCATGGATACTGATAGGATACATATCACGCTACCATGGGTACTGATAGGATACATATCACAAAACATGCGTATTGATAGGATACGTATCACAATACATGGGTACTGATAGGATACCTATCACAATACATGGGTACTGATAGGATACCTATCACAATACATGGGTACTGATAGGATACCTATCACAATACATGGGTACTGATAGGATATGTATCACAATACATGGGTACTGATAGGAAACGTAACACAATACATGCGTACTGATAGGATATGTATCACAATACATGGGTACTGATAGGATACGTATCACAATACATGGTTACTGATAGGATACATATCACAATACATGGGTACTGATGGGACACGTATCACAATACATGGGTTCTGATAGGAAACGTATCACGATACATGAGTACTGATAGGAAACGTATCACAATACATACACCAGCATGAAGACTACAGGACCAGCAGTATGCCTTCTGTTACCATTTTCCACAACTTTAGATGTTATGTTTGGTTGGTAAAATGTCTCAAGGGAGTATATCAAATACCAGTATGTATTTTGGACCAGCAGGCCAAAGAAGTATCAAATAGTCCATGATATAAATCTGATGTTGTATTTAAAGGTTTCTGACGTAACAACCAGTATCTGCAGCTATGAATCTGATGGATCAAGGCATTCCTTTACACAGAGGGAAACTTACAACAGATTACAGGTATACTATTACAGATAACTTTACCAGATTTTGAATAACAGGTAATGTATCTGATGTAATCATATGTTCACTATCTGACATAATTACTCAGGTATTCTATCTGACATAGTTACTCAGGTATTCTATCTGACATAATTACTCTATCTGACATAATTACTCGAGTATTCTATCTGGCATAATTACTCTATCTGACATAATTACTCGAGTATTCTATCTGACATAATTACTCAGGTATGCTATCTGACATAATTACTTAGATATTCTATCTGACATAATTACTCAGGTATTCTATCCGACATAATTACTCAGGTATTCTATCCGACATAATTACTCAGGTATTCTATCTGACATAATTACTCAGGTATTCTATCTGACATAAGTACTCAGGTATTCTATCCGACATAATTACTCAGATATTCTATCAGACATAATTACTCAGGTATTCTATCCGACATAATTACTCAGATATTCTATCAGACATAATTACTCAGGTATTCTATCCGACATAATTACTCAGATATTCTATCAGACATAATTACTCAGGTATTCTATCCGACATAATTACTCAGATATTCTATCAGACATAATTACTCAGGTATTCTATCCGACATAATTACTCAGGTATTCTATCTGAAATAATTAAGACTACAGTATTTGACCTCATTAAAGGTTATGTTTGACATAATTACATCTTTTCTATCTGACCTAATTATATATAAAGCTATGGTATTTGACCTAATTACAGATTATCTTTTTGACCTAAATACATGTTTTCTATCTGACCTAATTAAGACTGCAGAATTTGACCTAATTACAGGCTACAGGTTCAAGAGACATGTTTTGTAAGTCTTTGCAGCAGGATTTAATTTTTCAGTGCTCACCTGGGATATCACAAGATATTGAAAGTATGAAAAGTGTGTCTCCTGCACCAAGCCAGGCTTCCTCCAGTTCAAAGGTCAAGGCCAGTGACTGGGTTAAGACATTGAATTTGAAAACACCTTCTAAAGATTCACAATCAGGAGACATGGACATTTTAGAGGATTCAGCAAAAAAGAAAAAAAGATTCACAAGGTATAGAGTTGAACTCGTGAGAATATTTAAGGCAAAATTGTACCAAAGGGATACAGGTGTACATAATTTGATGATTTACTAAGGGTAGAAACCCTATAGGGCCAGGTGGGCATAATTTGATGATTTACTAAGAGTGTAAACCCTAGGGAATCAGATATATTATAACTTCCTGTGTATTGTGTATATTCATTTTCAATAATTATATGTAAATGAGTTCCATTTTGTGTTTGTAGAGGAGGTTTTGCTGACCAGCTCAACAAAGTTCAAACAAGAGAGCGTTCATCTTTGAGAATATGGTCACATCAGCAGAAGTGTGGGAAGTCGGAATCTACAGGTAACAGCAACTCATTCAGAAACAGATCAGTAGGTATTCTCATTAGGACCCCATAGCGTCAATATGTTTCTCCTATCTGATGTAACAGTCAGTATGTATTCTCATTAGGACCCCACAGCCTCAATATGTTTCTCCTATCTGATGTAACAGATCAGTATGTATTCTCATTAGGACCCCACAGCCTCAATATGTTTCTCCTATCTGATGTAACAGTCAGTATGTATTCTCATTAGGACCCCACAGCCTCAATATGTTTCTCCTATCTGATGTAACAGATCAGTATGTATTCTCATTAGGACCCCACAGCCTCAATATGTTTCTCCTATCTGATGTAACAGTCAGTATGTATTCTCATCAGGACCCCACAGCCTCAATATGTTTCTCCTCTCTGATGTAACAGTCAGTATGTATTCTCATCAGGACCCCACAGCCTCAATATGTTTCTCCTATCTGATGTAACAGTCAGTATGTATTCTCATTAGGACCCCACAGCCTCAATATGTTTCTCCTATCTGATGTAACAGATCAGTATGTATTCTCATTAGGACCCCACAGCCACAATATGTTTCTCCTATCTGATGTAACAGATCAGTATGTATTCTCATCAGGACCCCACAGCCTCAATATGTTTCTCCTATCTGATGTAACAGTCAGTATGTATTCTCATTAGGACCCCACAGCCTCAATATGTTTCTCCTATCTGATGTAACAGATCAGTATGTATTCTCATTAGGACCCCACAGCCTCAATATGTTTCTCCTATCTGATGTAACAGTCAGTATGTATTCTCATTAGGACCCCATAGCCTCGATATGTTTCTCCTATCTGATGTAACAGTAAGTATTAGTTGTAATGACCGGTCTTTGTTAGGCCTATATAACTTCTTGTTACCTCAGCAAAAAGTCTGATTAATTATATAAGATAGCAATGTAAATTAAAGTGACGTTAAAACCTTATTTCAGTTCTAGGTTTGTCTCTTACATTGAACACTTTTGTGTTGTGTATGTCTCTTACATTGAACACTTTTGTGTTGTGTATGTCTCTTACATTGAGCACTTTTGTGATGTGTATGTCTCTTTCATTGAACACTTTTGTGTTGTGTATGTCTCTTACATTGAACTCTTTTGTGTTGTGTAAGTCTCTTACATTGAACTCTTTTGTGTTGTGTAAGTCTCTTACATTGAACACTTTTGTGTTGTGTAAGTCTCTTACATTGAACACTTTTGTGTTGTGTATGTCTCTTACATTGAACACTTTTGTGTTGTGTATGTCTCTTACATTGAACACTTTTGTGTTGTGTATGTCTCTTACATTGAACACTTTTGTGTTGTGTATGTCTCTTTCATTGAACACTTTCGTGTTGTGTTTTTACTTTAAGACTTGACCCATTCGAAGTATATCACCATTACAGTGGTAAGCTTTGAATTACTCTACAGCCTTCAGTTGGCTCAATGTGAGGTTTTAGCAGGGCCGATGGACCAAGGCGAGATCCTGGTGCTATTTTCAACTGCAGCAGTCCAACAACAAAACATAAAACCAGGCAGCATTGTTCGTATTCATCGTCCATGGTAAGTAGTGTTAATTACACCTCTGTGTGGGAGAAAGGACCATGATAATGGTAATTGTTAATTACAGCTCTCTCTGTGGGAAAAGGGAGGTGGGAATGTTTATAGATACATTGGAAATCAGTATAATTACACAGGGGATATTGTATAGCTGTCAGTTGTCACGTCATGTGTGTCAGTCATGGAAAATATCTTTGCTGCATTCAGAGAAGCTTTGTCTTAAATAATATCTTTAAGTAAAACTTGTCATGTTTGTTTCCTTGCAGCAAGGAATCGCTCCACTTATCAATACACTGGGATGGAGGGAGTATGATACTGTTTAATAATGAAAACCTAAACATGAATCTGACTTTTATGTTGTCTGATGATTGTGTATTGATATCAAGTTAATAAAGTAGAAAGACCATCTCTCATCCATCCTTTTTTCAACACTGTAAAATAACAGGTGATTGATACAGGTCACTTTGGCCTCTTGTTTTAAAAGGCAGCAGCTGGAGCTGAAACAGACACAGCAGAAGGTTTTGTTATGTACAAACTACTGCCATGTAGATAACAGTAATGACCTCCAAATACCAAGGTCACAAAAGTTCACCAAACAGGAAGTGGTCACTGGTCAGTGGAACTGCCCTTGTGTAGCAGGTACATTTATGGATATTGTCATCAGTAGAGGATTTTCTGCTCATGTTGTTCTTATTGTTTTCCTCTTCCTTAGGAAATTACCTTCTCTATTTAGATTTGATAGTAATCTATACTGAGGTTTGATAAATAATAGATTTTGCTGGGATTTTATAAGGAATCACTTCAGCTGGCATTTTAAAACTTATTAATTCTCCTGCGTTCTTGGTTTCCACAGATCTTGTGAACGACTACCAGAGCTGTGCTGCCCATCTCCTTCCTTGTATTCCAGCGATAGACATTCCACTGGTAATATGAGATGATGATGTAATGATTGATGTTTCTTATTCCAAAGTCATTGTTTTGATTTTTAGTGAATGTTGAAATCAATCATAGGTACATTTAGAACTGTGTTATTTTGTTAATGTTTCACTAATGCAAGCTTTTGCTGCTTGGCAGTATTTTATTGATATTACTCAATTGTGATGTTTATTTATAGGATGCTGGGTTTTGTGATAGTAAAGAGGTCAGTGATACATCAAGATTAACTATGGTACAGTCCACCCAACTGCAGAATTGGGTAACATCATCCACACACACAATACTGGACAGCATACAAGGCTCCCCACCGACTAGCTTCACAGGACTTGTTCAAAGGGTCATACAGACACGACAAACATCGAGGTAGGTCAGTCATACAGACACGACAAACATCCAGGTAGGTCAGTCATACAGACACGACAAACATCGAGGTAGGTCAGTCATACAGACACGACAAACATCCAGGTAGGTCAGTCATACAGACACGACAAACATCGAGGTAGGTCAGTCATACAGACACGACAAACATCCAGGTAGGTCAGTCATACAGACACGACAAACATCCAGGTAGGTCAGTCATACAGGCACGACAAACATCCAGGTAGGTCAGTCATACAGACACGACAAACATCCAGGTAGGTCAGTCATACAGACACGACAAACATCCAGGTAGGTCAGTCATACAGACACGACAAACATCCAGGTAGGTCAGTCCTACAGACACGACAAACATTCAGGTAGGTCAGTCCTACAGACACGACAAACATCCAGGTAGGTCAGTCATACAGACATGACAAACATCCAGGTAGGTCAGTCATACACATATGACAAACATCCAGGTAGGTCAGTCCTACAGACACGACAAACATCCAGGTAGGTCAGTCCTACAGACATGACAAACATCCAGGTAGGTCAGTCCTACAGACACGACAAACATCCAGGTAGGTCAGTCATACAGACACTACAAACATCCAGGTACGTCAGTCCTATAGACACGACAAACATCCAGGTAGGTCAGTCATACAGACACGACAAACATGCAGGTAGGTCAGTCGTACAGACACGACAAACATCCAGGTAGGTCAGTCCTATAGACACGACAAACATCCAGGTAGGTCAGTCATACAGACACGACAAACATCCAGGTAGGTCAGTCATACAGACACGACAAACATCCAGGTAGGTCAGTCATACAGACACGACAAACATCCAGGTAGGTCAGTCATACAGGCACGACAAACATCCAGGTAGGTCAGTCATACAGACACGACAAACATCGAGGTAGGTCAGTCATACAGACACGACAAACATCCTGGTAGGTCAGTTATACAGGCACGACAAACATCCAGTTAGGTCAGTCCTACAGACACGACAAACATCCAGGTAGGTCAGTCATACAGACACGACAAACATCCAGGTAGGTCAGTCATACAGACACGACAAACATCCAGGTAGGTCAGTCATACAGACACGACAAACATCCAGGTAGGTCAGTCATACAGACACGACAAACATCCAGGTAGGTCAGTCATACAGGCACGACAAACATCCAGGTAGGTCAGTCATACAGACACGACAAACATCGAGGTAGGTCAGTCATACAGACACGACAAACATCCTGGTAGGTCAGTTATACAGGCACGACAAACATCCAGTTAGGTCAGTCCTACAGACACGACAAACATCCAGGTAGGTCAGTCATACAGACACGACAAACATCCAGGTAGGTCAGTCATACAGACACGACAAACATCCAGGTAGGTCAGTCCTACAGACCTGAAAAAACAATGAGTGACATGTCATCAAGTCTTGTCTCACTTACCAATGCATATGTTACCTGGTTGAAAAATGTTTTTCGATGCATAAAACTTTTAAACTTATCTCAAAGTAATATCCAAAATGCTTTTAATTTTGACATACTTGTATAAAGATTAATTTCTGTTTGGTAGCAGTAACTTTTTTTTGGTAGATGGTGTGTGCTTGTGGAGGATGTGCAAGGCACTTTGTGTCAAGTGATCATTTCAACCCGAATTCCAGTGTGGGACAAAGTCTTAGAGGGGGAGGGGTCAGTCTTTTCCTTCACTGGCCTCACTGTAAAAAGTCGGACACACAGGGATAGGTGAGTCACATAGTCTTACAAGGGGGAGGGGACAGTTTTCTCCTTCACTGGCCTCACTGTACACATTAGATCACACAGGGAAAGGTGAGTCACATAGTCTTACAAGGGGGCGGGGACAGTTTTCTCCTTCACTGGCCTCACTGTACACATTAGGTCACACAGGGAAAGGTGAGTCACATAGTCTTACAAGGGGGCGGGGACAGTTTTCTCCTTCACTGGCCTCACTGTACACATTAGGTCACACAGGGAAAGGTGAGTCACATAGTCTTACAAGGGGGCGGGGACAGTTTTCTCCTTCACTGGCCTCACTGTACACATTAGGTCACACAGGGAAAGGTGAGTCACATAGTCTTACAAGGGGGCGGGGACAGTTTTCTCCTTCACTGGCCTCACTGTACACATTAGGTCACACAGGGAAAGGTGAGTCACATAGTCTTACAAGGGGGCGGGGACAGTTTTCTCCTTCACTGGCCTCACTGTACACATTAGGTCACACAGGGAAAGGTGAGTCACATAGTCTTACAAGGGGGCGGGGACAGTTTTCTCCTTCACTGGCCTCACTGTACACATTAGGTCACACAGGGAAAGGTGAGTCACATAGTCTTACAAGGGGGCGGGGACAGTTTTCTCCTTCACTGGCCTCACTGTACACATTAGGTCACACAGGGAAAGGTGAGTCACATAGTCTTACAAGGGGGCGGGGACAGTTTTCTCCTTCACTGGCCTCACTGTACAACATTTTTCCCACATTGTTTGATTGGTTTCCTATTTTGACTGATATGATAAAAATGACCACATTTTCTTTACTTTGAGATGTAGTCTGAGTGACAGATGATGGTAGAATACTCTCAGAAGATCTGTCTGTATTTGTTGATTTATTGTTCCAGAGATGTTGACTTGTTTAGTCTGATTGATTCTGTGTGGTCTGGAGTTGTCACAAGCACAAATAGTCAAGACAGTGACCAGAGGCTGCCCAGTCCTAGTAGTCAAGACAGTGACCAGAGGCTGCCCGCTCCTAGTAGTCAAGACAGTGACCAGAGGCTGCCTGGTCCTAGTAGTCAAGGCAGCGAACTTCCAGGAACCAGCACAGCTGTTAGGCCTGTGGAGTCGCCTGGATTTTGCTATGTAATGAATGGAGATAATTCTGCAGATATTGATGTAACTTCCATTAGTAACTCTGTATTGCTGTCTCGGTATCAGCGTCTATCACTCACTGATTTGTCAGAGACCTGTAAGGTGAGTTCAATAGATAGTTACAGAAAAAATGTTATTTGGCTAGATATGGTTGTTAGCATGCTAGGATAAAGGGCTTTTAAGTTTGTTAAAACAAATGACCTTGACAAACCTTTTAGGACATGTGTCAAATGTGTGAAACTTTTTAAATATTTTCTTTTCAATAACCCAGAGACCCACAGTCATGACATTGGACCAACAGCATACTGAGATGGAGGGCTGCCAAATTACATCAAATAAATGACCTTGACCCCTCATTCAATGTTACAGTGGTCAAATATATAAAAGTCTTTAAACAACCTGTAATATAAATGAGAGGCCCTGATGAGTTTTGTTTTTACCTGCAACATCTATACTCTAAAGATAACGTGTGGTTTTGTCTCTATCACCTGTTAATTTTAAACTTTGTTCTACAAATTTTCTACTCTCATGTCAAGATTTACATTTTGGGTGTCATCGATGAAGCAGAAGATGCTTACTCTTCAGGAAGACCTGGTCTTATTCTGTTGTACTTATTCAGGAGTCCCCATGTAAATCCTTCTTTTGTACATATTTTGCCCTAGTTTTATGGAATTTGAGTTTGAATTATGATTATGTTGCCATGTTGGTCTGTGAAACTGAATAATAATCGCTTTTTGCTGAAAAAATTGTTTGTTTGCTTGTTTTTTTTCAGGAATTGACAGCAGGGAAGCGTTTCTGTTTTGTAGGGAAAGTTTTAGCTATACTGGTAAGTCAGCAACACAGCATCTCAACATTCTTTTTAGAGGGTAGATAATTGGAGAAAACATGATAATTAGGCTACAGTAAGTCAGGTAAAGTTGTACCTGTCTGGTAAAATAGTCCACTACAGATAACTAGATCTTTACCTGTCTGTTCAGTCTGGTAAAATATCCACTACAGATAACTAGATATTTACCTGTCTGTTCAGTCTGGTAAAATATCCACTACAGATAACTAGATATTTACCTGTCTGTTCAGTCTGGTAAAATATCCACTACAGATAACTAGATGTTTACCTGTCTGTTCAGTTTGGTAAAATATCCACTACAGATAACTAGATATTTACTGTCTGTTCAGTCTGGTAAAATATCCACTACAGATAACTAGATATTTACCTGTCTGTTCAGTCTGGTAAAATATCCACTACAGATAACTAGATATTTACCTGTCTGTTCAGTCTGGTAAAATATCCACTACAGATAACTAGATATTTACCTGTCTGTTCAGTCTGGTAAAATATCCACTACAGATAACTAGATATTTACCTGTCTGTTCAGTCTGGTAAAATATCCACTACAGATAACTAGATATTTACCTGTCTGTTCAGTCTGGTAAAATATCCACTACAGATAACTAGATATTTACCTGTCTGTTCAGTCTGGTAAAATATCCACTACAGATAACTAGATATTTACTGTCTGTTCAGTCTGGTAAAATATCCACTACAGATAACTAGATATTTACCTGTCTGTTCAGTCTGGTAAAATATCCACTACAGATAACTAGATATTTACCTGTCTTTTCAGTCTGGTAAAATAGTCCACTACAGATAACTAGATATTTACCTGTCTTTTCAGTCTGGTAAAATATCCACTACAGATAACTAGATGTTTACCTGTCTGTTCAGTCTGGTAAAATAGTCCACTACAGATAACTAGATGTTTACCTGTCTGTTCAGTCTGGTAAAATATCCACTACAGATAACTAGATATTTACCTGTCTGTTCAGTCTGGTAAAATATCCACTACAGATGACAAGTAATCTCTTCCTATAGCCCTCTGACACACAACACATCCAGGATGACTCTAGGACTACTACACATACCAGAAATCCTCACTGCTACCTGTATGTTCGTGCTGCCTCCTGGTCGACCACTATTATTGTCAGGGTAGCCTATGATATCACACATGATACTTGTGGACAGGTCATGTTCTTCAAGGATGTGTTTTACCTCAAAGGTAGGTACATTGATCAGCTTTGTCGTTAACCCTAACTCTAACCCTAACCATGTACAGGTGATATCACATCACAGAATTCATATACAAACGTCTGCACAGTTCAGCCTTTTAAGGCGTTCACCTTGGATTTGTTTTCTGTTTTGTTTGTTTTTCTTGTCCTCCTTTTGTGATATTTCAGTATAAAGTTTGACCAAAGAAATCATTGCTCACTTTTTCAGTCACTACTGTTGAAAATTTGTACATGTTATGAGTAATCTTGTTTTCAATGATTTTCTTCTACAAAATGTTGTGAGAGTCCGGGGGTAAGCACTGAAAATAGCATTGTTGGGAGGAAAAAATTGAGGTCAAAGTTTTGTTATTTAAAGCCATACAAGAAGAAACCTCCAGGTAGACAACCAAGAACATCACTGTTTAAAATTTTGTTGTAGTTTGAGGTAGAGGAAGATTCTATTTCTCAGTGCGGCTTTGATTGCGCTGGTTTAGTTTATTTAATGATAAACTTAATGCTATGTTTATGAAGTTGTTACATGTATTTCAGAACAGCTTTGTTGTGATGTTCTCTCTCAGATACTACCAGTATCTGCTGTACCTGAGAGGTGTCTATCTACCAACTGTCAGATAGACAAAGAAATAAGAGCTCTACAAGGGGAGATCATTCTTCCAAGTGTCTGCTGCGAGCTTCCTGATCTAACTCTTTGTAAGGTATTAGGTAAGTTTGAACTTTGACCAAACATAGACAACTGTGTGAATTTAAATGATTTGTCAGTTTGAATATTTATCTAAATCTGTAGATGTGACTTTATATAATACTCTGCTGCAGTTTTTATATTTGTAAACACTTTATCATGAGAGAAAAGACAAGAAGAGACAAATCATCCTCAATTTACATCCTACTGCTTCAAAATAGCCATCTTAACATCACTAGATTTACTGTTTGTCACAGTATCATACAATAATTTAGGTATTATCTTTGGTCAAATTATAAGAATATTTGTATATGTTTATAGCTAGAGTGAGTGGTGTAGATGAGAGTTCAGCCTACTCCTGGGATGTTTGTGATGACTGTGGTGAGATTGTGTGTTTTTATTTTATAGGTAGAGTGAGGGGTGTAGATGAGAGTTCAGCCTACTCCTGGGATGTTTGTGATGACTGTGGTGAGATTGTGTGTTTTTATTTTATAGGTAGAGTGAGGGGTGTAGATGAGAGTTCAGCCTACTCCTGGGATGTTTGTGATGACTGTGGTGAGATTGTGTGTTTTTATTTTATAGGTAGAGTGAGGGGTGTAGATGAGAGTTTAGCCTACTCCTGGGATGTTTGTGATGACTGTGGTGAGATTGTGTGTTTTTATTTTATAGGTAGAGTGAGGGGTGTAGATGAGAGTTCAGCCTACTCCTGGGATGTTTGTGATGACTGTGGTGAGATTGTGTGTTTTTATTTTATAGGTAGAGTGAGGGGTGTAGATGAGAGTTCAGCCTACTTCTGGGATGTTTGTGATGACTGTGGTGAGATTGTGTGTTTTTATTTTATAGGTAGAGTGAGGGGTGTAGATGAGAGTTCAGCCTACTCCTGGGATGTTTGTGATGACTGTGGAAGTGACAGCCTGGTTACTCAACAAAGGTGGATTTTTATTTTCATGAAAGCCAACCTGCTCTTCTTTCTGTCTAGATTTCATTTCTGTACAATGATTCCTTAAATTCAAATTAACTTCAAATTGATGTACTATAATGATGTCTGCTCTTCAGTGTTCTGATGGATCAAACTCAGAAAAATATATTATCAGTGACACCATCACTGTAATGAAAGCTAATATTTACATCCTGAATTGTGTCATTGCTGATTCAGGGAGTTGATCTGTCAGGAGTGTCACAAAGCTGTTACAGAGCCAGTGAACAAGATGACCATGGAGATACACATGACATGTGATGAACTTGACATTCCTGTGACAGTCAGTGTAAGTAGTCAGATGTCATATCAGGGTCAAAAGGTTATGTAAGGGTTACCAAGATCTTATCATGGTCACACAGGTCATATTAGGGTTTCTGATGTAAAGTCAAGGTCATTTGTCCAATCAGCATTTCTTATATCAGTGTTGCGCAGATTACAATGGGTTTACAGAGGTCAAATAAGGTTTACAGGAACTATCGCATGGGTTATATATAGGTCACAGTGATCATATCAGGGTTTCAAGGATCATAGGGATCAGGTCAGGGTCACTAGGTCATTGGGGTCATGTAAGGCCTTCAGGGATCAAGGCAAGGTTGCTAGGTCATTGAGGTCATGTAAGGCTTACAGGGATCTTGGCAGGGTCACTAGGTCATTGAAGTCATGTAAGGCCTACAGGGATCATGGCAGGGTCACTAGGTCATTGGGGTCGTGTAAGGCTTACAGGGATCATGGCAGGGTCACTAGGTCGTTGGGGTCATGTAAGACTTACAGGGATCATGGCAGGATTACTAGGTCGTTGGGGTCATGTAAGGCTTACAGGGATCAAGGCAGGGTCACTAATTTGTTGGGGTCATGTAAGGCCTACAGGGATCATGGCAGGGTCACTAGGTAGTTGGGGTCATGTAAGGCCTACAGGGATCATGGCAGGGTCACTAGATCATTGGGGTCATGTAAGACTTACTGGGATCATGGCAGGGTCACTAGTTCGTTGGGGTTATGTAAGACTTACAGGGATCATGGCATGGTCACTAGGTCGTTGGGGTCATGTAAGACTTACAGGGATCATGGCAGGGTCACTAGGTCGTTGGGGTCATGTAAGGCTTACAGGGATTAAGGCAGGGTCACTAGGTCGTTGGGGTCATGTAAGGCCTACAGGGATCATGGCAGGTTCACTAGGTCGTTGGGGTCATGTAAGAATTACAGGGATCATGGCAGGGTCACTAGGTCGTTGGGGTCATGTAAGGCTTACAGGGATTAAGGCAGGGTCACTAGGTCGTTGGGGTCATGTAAGGCCTACAGGGATCATGGCAGGTTCACTAGGTCGTTGGGGTCATGTAAGATTTACAGGGATCATGGCAGGATCACTAGGTCGTTGGGGTCATGTAAGATTTACAGGGATCATGGCAGGGTCACTAGGTCATTGGGGTCATGTAAGATTTACAGGGATCATGGCAGGGTCACTAGGTCGTTGGGGTCATGTAAGGCTTACAGGGATCAAGGCAGGGTCACTAGGTCGTTGGGGTCATGTAAGGCTTACAGGGATCATGGCAGGTTCACTAGGTCGTTGGGGTCATGTAAGATTTACAGGGATCATGGCAGGTTCACTAGGTCGTTGGGGTCATGTAAGATTTACAGGGATCATGGCAGGGTCACTAGGTCGTTGGGGTCATGTAAGATTTACAGGGATCATGGCAGGGTCACTAGGTCATTGGGGTCATGTAAGATTTACAGGGATCATGGCAGGGTCACTAGGTCGTTGGGGTCATGTAAGATTTACAGGGATCATGGCAGGGCCACAAAAGCCAATATAAAGGTTGTTTTTTTCTTGCAGCTTCTCCAGGATACTATTGAGTGTTTACTGCCAGAGGAGACCACAGAGGAGGTAAATTTATATCATACACTGTCACCTTCATGTACGGAGGGGACATTTAAAGATGGCGGTGACAAAGCACACTTCGTGAAAGTACCAGCTTTCAGGCCCCAATCGGTCTTTTGCAATTTTCTGCTGTTGTAAATATCATAATTTTTTGTTTCAAAACTTAAAATGTTTTCAAATGGAATTTGAAACTTTTCAGACTGTTTACCTGCCATTGAAAAATGATTCATCTTACTACAAATTAAATGTAAATATTGGCATCAAATAGGCAAAACAAATATTACAGCAGTCAGCACGTACAGAACTAAGTATGCTACCTTAATTTCATGAGATATCTTAATGTTTAATAAACATACATCTGAAGTTTAGGGAGAGTTATCACCTGGTTGTCTGAATTCTTATGAAACCTTGTTAAAAAAGATATTCTTGTGCTAGTGTGTGTAACAGCTTGGTAATATTTGTTTCTAAAACACCAGATAGATGCATAAAAACCCAGTACATGGATGTTTAGTTGTTTACTAGCGGCAGGCTTGAAGTGTTCCTGCCAGACCACATACTGGACAGTATATTTACCTATCGGTATGAAACTGCTGAGTACTTTATCGATTAATTTCTTTCTAAATATTTTGAAGTTACAAATATGCTACCATACTTATACCTGTGATTTGTGTTAGAGTTAAGGCTATATGCTACCTTACTTATCATATCTACAGGGAAATTAATTATTTATGAAATCATTGCAGATCCCAAAAATTTCCAACTAGTAAAATTGTTTCCTACACAAGCAAACTTTACCTTGTAGTCTTTAGTGTGCCATGTTATATGAATTCATGTATAATTGTAAATAATCACATTGATTTTATGACAAATAAATTGATACAACAAAAGAAACAAGTTCAAGGATTCTGACAGAACTGGGAAGATCATTGGAACATTGAAAACTGATCATATTCTTTATAGCTCATGGAAGGCATTCCTCGTCTCTCTGATGTCAACTTCTCTTTCACCTTAACCTAGTAGCCAAAAGTCACAGCAATGTAGGATAAAGCCCAATAAACTTTGCAAAAAGAAATGACCTTGACTGTTATGCACGGTCAAATGGATAAAATTTATGAAAAGCATTGAGGCATGATATTTGTTTTATAGGTACCAAGTACCTGTGATGGTGCTAGGCACAATTTTGGAAAGCATTGAGGCATGATATTTGTTTTATAGGTACCAGGTACCTGTGATGGTGCTAGGCACAATTTTGGAAAGCATTGAGGCATGATATTTGTTTAATAGGTACCAGGTACCTGTGATGGTGCTAGGCACAATTTTGGAAAGCATTGAGGCATGATATTTGTTTTATAGGTACCAGGTACCAGTGATGGTGCTAGGCACAATTTTGGAAAGCATTGAGGCATGATATTTGTTTTATAGGTGCCAGGTATCTGTGATGGTGCTTGGCAAAATTTTGGAAAGCATTGAGGCATGATATTTGTTTTATAGGTACCAAGTACCTGTGATGGTGCTAGGCACAATTTTGGAAAGCATTGAGGCATGATATTTGTTTTATAGGTACCAGGTACCAGTGATGGTGCTAGGCACAATTTTGGAAAGCATTGAGGCATGATATTTGTTTTATAGGTACCAGGTACCAGTGATGGTGCTAGGCACAATTTTGGAAAGCATTGAGGCATGATATTTGTTTTATAGGTACCAGGTACCAGTGATGGTGCTAGGCACAATTTTGGAAAGCATTGAGGCATGATATTTGTTTTATAGGTACCAGGTACCAGTGATGGTGCTAGGCACAATGGAAAGCATTGAGGCATGATATTTGTTTTATAAAGTACCAGTGATGGTGCTTGGCACAATTTTGGAAAGCATTGAGGCATGATATTTGTTTTATAGGTACCAAGTACCAGTGATGGTGCTAGGCACAATTTTGGAAAGCATTGAGGCATGATATTTGTTTTATAGGTACCAGGTACCTGTGATGGTGCTAGGCACAATTTTGGAAAGGAAATTACTTTGATCAATATTCAAAGTCACAGAGATCCTTATCAGGTTTCACTGTCTCAACTTGGCATCAATACTAAAACTGAATTTCTGACAGTATGATCACAATGGGTATATAGCTACAAATTTACAAAACACAGTGTTAATTCTTAAGTAAAGAAAATAAAACTACTTAGTCTGTTGTTTAGTAAAGTTATTGTACTGAGTCCATTGTTTAGTAAAGTTATTGTACTGAGTCTGTTGTTTAGTAAAGTTATTTTACTGAGTCTGTTGTTTAGTAAAGTTATTGTACTGAGTCTGTTGTTTAGTAAGGTTATTGTACTAAGTGTTGTTTAGTAAAGTTATTTTACTGAGTCTATTGTTTAGCAAAGTTATTTTACTGAGTCTATTGTTTAGCAAAGATATTTTACTGAGTATGTTGTTTAGTAAAGTTATTTTACTGAGTCTGTTGTTTAGTAAAGTTATTTTACTGAGTCTGTTGTTTAGTAAGGTTATTGTACTGAGTGTTGTTTAGTAAAGTTATTTTACTGAGTCTGTTGTTTAGTAAAGTTATTTTACTGAGTCTGTTGTTTAGTAAAGTTATTTTACTGAGTCTGTTGTTTAGTAAAGTTATTTTACTGAGTGTTGTTTAGTAAAGTTATTTTACTGAGTCTGTTGTTTAGTAAAGTTATTGTACTGAGTCTGTTGTTTAGTAAAGTTATTTTACTGAGTCTATTGTTTGGTAAAGTCATTTTACTGAGTCTGTTGTTTGGTAAAGTCATTTTACTGAGTCTGTTGTTTGGTAAAGTTATTTTACTGAGTCTGTTGTTTGGTAAAGTCATTTTACTGAGTCTGTTGTTTAGTAAAGTTATTTTACTGAGTTTGTTGTTTGGTAAAGTCATTTTACTGAGTCTGTTGTAAAGTCATTTTACTGAGTCTGTTGTTTAATAAAGTTATCTCTCCTGGCACATAGTAGTACAATACTCTCTACTTTCTTTCAGGGTTATGACATTGAAAGTGTCCTTGGGAAAGACGTTGGAACCATTTACTGTGTGTTGTGTTCAAAACTTGTTGGAGGAGGAAAAGTCAAGTGTATGAAACTACAACAAGTAGCTGTAGTTTTGTAGTTTATCACTAAGTGACAATAAGTTACTGTGATAAAGAATGAAAATCTATCTGTATCAGATAGTTAATTTAAATTCATGATCAATAAAATTAATTTAACTGCTTTAGTATCATTAACAAAAAAATCATGTTGGAGAAATTCAGTAAAAAATTGAAAACAGCTTGATGTTTTTGTTTTATCAATTTACTTGATTTCATCGTTTGTGACTATTTGAAGTACTCTGCCATGCTGGATATAGTCAGGCAAACAGTCATGGTGTTGAAAGACATCCTGAAATCCTACCCTTACAACGCTCAGTATAGCCCATACCATAAACACAAAAAAATTACACTTATTTAGGTACATATAAAATATTTGTGATCACATATATGTTCAGTGTCTAGAGTGCAAAACATACCTAGATTTATGTAAAACAGTTTTGAAATTTTAATCACCATCTTACATACAACAACTTAGGATGGTTTTTTTTGTCCGTTTTAAAGGGCCTTCGGCGTCCGTCCGCCAAAGGGATTACCGAGACACCTAAATTTACACCACCGCTCTCGATTCAGACTTACAACTTTGTATTTGTTTTATGTTCTATGTACGAGATGTAATTTATTTAGTATTTGTGTCTTGATAAAGGGGCAGTTTGCCTCAAATATTTGACAATTCGCTTGTCTGTACTGTTGCTATTACTTCACAGATCATATATATATATAGAAATCCTGCTAAAATGTCAGAACGCCTGAAAAGGTACAAACAAGTTATACCTGATAACTTTAAAATTCAAAAAGTTGTAGTGAAAATTCTATGGTTTTAATTAGGTATCTTAAAGTTCTAACTTTTTTGCACCATTTTGAAAAGGTGCAAGAAAGTTATACCTATTTGTACCTTATTCTGGGAGAACCGCTCAAATGGTGAAATAACATAATACAATGTAAAAGCTCTGCTGCCTCAGGAAATCATTCTGATTTCCCAGAGTTACTTCCCTTTGTTCCACTCTGTAAAGTGATAAGCTTTACAGCCAATGAGAGTTAAACTAATTACACAATTTCATTCTAAGGAAAACGTATGTCATTAATGAAAACTAAATGAACAACTTGGCTATAGTATAATAATGAAACCAAAAGCAACAGGGTATTGATGAAACAGCTATTATAACAAAAAACACCACTCATGTTACCATATTGAACTGACATTCATGTGAGTCTTCTTTCTTTTTTTTGGTTACCATTGCATCAAAGCAAAACCAACATTTTGGAAAACAGGTTCATAATGTCATAAATATGCATTATTGAAAAGATTCGAAATTTGACCTTGACCTTTGCAACTGTGGCCTTGACACTTTGTTTGATTCTGGGCAGCTTTCCTACTATAAGTTTTATTTAGTTATACCATTTGACCAGAGTCAAATAAAAAAATATGTTGAATGACCAAGGAGTAATGATCATTTATCGTAAAACCTGTTTACAATAACCAGTTACCATGGCAACCAAAATTTAACAAACAAACAAAATTAAATGCACTTCTACATATGGTCTGTTGATATGACTAGGAGGAGTTCTCCAGACAATATTGGAAAGAACAATTCCAATATACCCCCAGTATAATGATAAAAACAACAAAGATGGAAAATGATTTTTTTAATGATACATGATTGTCAACAAGATACAGATCAGTATATTTCTAACATTTTAATGGACATCCCCACTAATCACTGTGGCATTTTAATGGACATCCCCACTAATCACTGTGGCATTTTAATGGACATTCCCACTCATCACTGTGGACATCAGTATATAGGGATCCTGTATGTAACCTGTTTATGACAGATTATACAGCCAACACCTTGGGGCTAATTCCAATAAGGTGGAATGTTGTGATATTGCAGTTAAAAGTGAGAAATTATATCACCCACTTTATCCTGGTAACAATCTCCACCTCCAACTCTAGAATGCAAATGACCCAATTTCATAATTTTCACGATGGTTTCAAATATATTGCAGAATTAAGTAGTTCTGTATATAAACAGTATTGCTGTTTAAGCAGCGGTATTTTGTATATTGTTATACCTATACTGTAGGTGTGTATGTGATATTTTACAAGGTAAACATAGGTCCAAAACAGTGTATGTGAGATTTACACATTAAACATATCCACAATGTTTTGTGATATTACCTACACACCTGTAGTAAACATAGGTCCAAAACCAGTTATGTGATATTACCTACACACCTGTAGTAAACATAGGTCCAAAACCAGTGTATGTGATATTACCTACACACCTGTAGTAAACATAGGTCCAAAACCAGTGTATGTGATATTACCTACACACCTGTAGTAAACATAGGTCCAAAACCAGTGTATGTGATATTACCTACACACCTGTAGTAAACATAGGTCAAATGTGATATTACCTACACACCTGTAGTAAACATAGGTCCAAAACCAATGTGATATTACCTACACACCTGTAGTAAACATAGGTCCAAAACCAGTGTATGTGATATTACCTACACACCTGTAGTAAACATAGGTCCAAAACCAGTGTATGTGATATTACCTACACACCTGTAGTAAACATAGGTCCAAAACCAGTGTATGTGATATTACCTACACACCTGTAGTAAACATAGGTCCAAAACCAGTGTATGTGATATTACCTACACACCTGTAGTAAACATAGGTCCAAAACCAGTGTATGTGATATTACCTACACACCTGTAGTAAACATAGGTCCAAAACCAGTGTATGTGATATTACCTACACACCTGTAGTAAACATAGGTCCAAAACCAGTGTATGTGATATTACCTACATACCTGTAGTAAACATAGGTCCAAAACCAGTGTATGTGATACTACCTACATACCTGTAGTAAACATAGGTCCAAAACCAGTGTATGTGATATTACCTACATACCTGTAGTAAACATAGGTCCAAAACCAGTGTATGTGATATTACCTACATACCTGTAGTAAACATAGCTAGCTCCAATGTCTAGGGTAACAGAGTGTAGATACACCTGTCCAGGGTAACAGTAGATACACCTGTCCAGGGTAACAGTGTAGATACACCTGTCCAGGGTAACAGTAGATACACCTCTCCAGGGTAACAGAGTCTAGATACACCTGTCCAGGGTAACACTCTAGATACACCTGTCCAGGGTAACAGAGTGTAGATACACCTGTCCAGGGTAACAGAGTCCAGATACACCTGTACTGGGTAACAGAGATACACATGAACTTGATAATGTTACTGCAAAAAAATTTCATATCAAAATGAATATTTAGTACATAAATAAATATCCAAACAAGTAATATATTATGAAAATAAAACAGTAATAAAGAAATCTAACTATTAAGATATATTCTAATAAAAATAAATCAAAATTGGAATAAAAAAAATGAAAACATTAATATTCAACATACAAAACTGATATAGCACTGCACAATTAGAAATTTGTGTGTATCACAGATCTGGTTTATCATACAGTATCTAAACATGCCATTAATTATGTCGTATTTACACCATGTAATATTGTGTATAGTAAAAATATAACATGTAATATCTACATTAAACAGTTTCAAAATAAAGATTCTGAGGGGTAGCAAAGATAATAAAAATGTCAAAAATATGGTAAATTCTGTACAAACTTAAAATATACAATTTTTACTCGGTAAACACTATGTCACCATTTTCTTTTTTGAGAAACCTATTTTTTGTTTTTAATAATGTTTTAATGTTGGCAGCTACATATTGCTTAAATAAAAAAGTCTTTCCAAATCATTTGATTAAAGGTGTGATCATAGAGACTGAACAGCAAGTAGTACAGTCTCTACTGGAGGATAGAGGGGGGGGGGGGGTTTACAGAATATTCCATAAAAAGCTTTAGACAGTTTCTCTCAACCCTGACTAGTACTGGGGGTGGCAGGGGTACAGAATATTCCTTAATAACAAATGATATGAATATTTAAATATGTTGTATAGTGTATATATACATACTGCTGAGAAATGACTTAACAGCACAAAGTCATGTTCATGAAGTCATGAATCACTAAACTTTCAAATTTTGGGGGAATTTCTTATTTAATTATTTTTTGTTTGAAGACGTAAAAAAATCCACAAAAAGAAAATTCCTGATATACCCTTGTTTCCAAGTACATCAGACATGATTTTGATTACCATAGCTAACAGTGTTGTCGAGGAATAAATCTGAAAGCTGTTCCAACAGACACTTATCCTTCACAAAATTACTTACTTTAGAAAGTCATTTTGAAAAGAAAATGAAAAAATATATGAGGCTGAATTAGAACTAAAATGGAATTTGGAGAAATACAAAAAAAAATCTACATTTAAAAATGGCCGACTTCTATAGATTTATGTTTGGCACATACTGTGGATTCATTTATTTTCGTTGGGTTCAATTTTCGTTGTTTCTACAAATTAGACAGTTTCGTGGACTCATAAATTCGTGGATTTTTGATTCTGTGGGAAAAAAATAAAAACGTTAGAATTTTCTCTTTTTGCATCCAGTCGAATTTTTTTCTGTTTGTATTAAGGCTATGTTCACAGAAATTAACACTAATGACAAGAATAAAAGAACGTTTTTTTTCAAGATGGCGTCCTGTGTTTTTATAACGCTGTTTACAACAGTCTCGCATTAATATCAAACCACAAATCAGTATATATCCTGGCGTGTAATCAATCGGTAATTATCAGAAACAATTGTTTTCAGTGGATAAACATTGTGTGCTGATCAGTCGGTGTACCGCAGCCATATGAAAACATCACGCGTATCGATGGGACCATGTGTGTAAACAGGTGTGTAAACAAGATCTGCATTATTAATAATTATTGTGAACCTGTAGTCGGATAGAAATACGGATCCAATCTTCAATCGACAGGATGGTCCGATCAAGCCTAGTGTCCACAGTGTCGCTAACGACTGCGATCCCATCATACTTAGCATCACAATGGGTACTTACCCTTTGTTATGTTTATTAATATATAATTATATATCGTTGACACCAATTTAGCGTATCCATGTCGAGCCTCAGACTACCCGACTCCCGACTAATTACGGGGCTTCTGTCATTACCGGTGGACGTTTCCGGTGTCGGCAAAGATTACTTGGTCAAATTTCAAAATTACTTTAGTAAGTAGTTCATATTTCGTTGTGTTTTTAAATTCGTGGATTTGCTCATCCACGAAAACAACGAAAATTGGACCCCCACGAAATAAAATGAATCCACAGTATACTCAACAACCGACAAATGTAGCATTTAAATAGCATCAAAAGATATTTATTGTTTGAAAATTGAGGAACAGATAACAACTTTCTTTTAATATCTGATAAAAACATAGAAAAGTGAACATGGTTTACATTAAACAATAATCTACTTAAGTGATGAACCCTGTTTTTCCAGAAAACCAATGAACACCATCTGTATGATGGTAAAGGAATGAGGTTTGGAAAGCTTTAGATATAAAACAAGTTAACAAAGATAGTGAAAGTTTTGCCTAAAAAATAAAACAGACAATATGACTCTCCAGCAGTAGGCGTTTAACACTTTCTTATATTTTCAAAATTTATCCAGCAAAAAACATATGTAATCATACCGCTTTACAGCAGATCTTTATCATTATACTCAGTCACCTTATCTCTCTAGTCCCAGTTTGTGTGATGGCCCTGGGCTTATTGTACAGTACCAGTTTGTGTGATGTCCCTGGGCTTATTGTCCACTACCAGTTTGTGTGATGGCCCTGGACTTATTGTACAGTACCAGTTTGTGTGATGGCCCTAGGCTTATTGTCCAGTACCAGTTTGTGTGATGGCCCTAGGCTTATTGTCCACTACCAGTTTGTGTGATGGCCCTGGACTTATTGTACAGTATCAGTTTGTGTGATGGCCCTGGACTTATTGTACAGTACCAGTTTGTGTGATGGCCCTGGGCTTATTGTACAGTACCAGTTTGTGTGATGGCCCTAGGCTTATTGTCCACTACCAGTTTGTGTGATGGCCCTGGACTTATTGTCCACTACCAGTTTGTGTGATGGCCCTAGGCTTATTGTCCACTACCAGTTTGTGTGATGGCCCTGGACTTATTGTACAGCAGCAGTTTGTGTGATGGCCCTGGGCTTATTGTACAGTACCAGTTTGTGTGATGGCCCTGGGCTTATTGTACAGTACCAGTTTGTGTGATGGCCCTAGGCTTATTGTCCAGTACCAGTTTGTGTGATGGCCCTGGGCTTATTGTAAAGTACCAGTTTGTGTGATGTCCCTGGGCTTATTGTCCAGTACCAGTTTGTGTGATGGCCCTAGGCTTATTGTACAGTACCAGTTTGTGTGATGGCCCTGGGCTTATTGTCCAGTACCAGTTTGTGTGATGGCCCTAGGCTTATTGTCCAGTACCAGTTTGTGTGATGACCCTGGGCTTATTGTCCAGTACCAGTTAATCTAATGAAAATGACCTGGATATCTATCAGATTCAAGACTAAGGTACATGACATGACTGAAATACAATGTTTTAGGGTCAAAATGTATTATTCCGCAGCTAGAACTTCTTGTTGCATGAGTGAGGTACTAGACTTCTGGGAATCTAGGGACATTTGACTGGCACTAAGGTTGGCGTCAATTGGCTGTAGGGGTGTATTCGACATTCGTGGAGTGGCCGCAGTGTTGGTCATTCGTGATGACCTACCGGTGACTCCTCCATCATCAGCCATCAGGTTTGATAAACTTCTCGTGTTGGCATTAGATTCGTCTAGACTAAGCATTGTGATTGGACGATTTTCATTGATGCCTTCAGGCTTGAATCCTATGAGGCTCGGACGTCCCTCACTAAAAAATCAATAAACATAATTTATATTACCATTGCATTCCTCAATTCTGATCCCTGTTTTCTCATTTATTACATGAAATTCAGAATTTTAATTTCAATTGTCCTGTAATTACTTTTCCTACAAGTCACTTATACGTAATAGTTTGTTGATGAGATTTGCTGAAATCAGGCTGTCAATCAAAGGCACCATGACCTAAACTTACCCTCTGTGTGTAATTTGTAATTAAGCAGTATAATATCTTCACTATAAAATCACCAATTTTTGGTAATGAAACAACGGTTCAATAAACCTGATTACTAGATTTTTATCTAACGATAAGCTGGTATCAGTAATGGGATACCAAAATACCACAGAAACAACAAACACGTTTTTGAAGGAACATTATTGCCATGCCAGTGAACTTCTTATCTTCACTTTGTTTATGGTTTCCTTGTTGGGCTGTTAAATTCTTTTGTAACTGCAAGTGTAATCTGAACTTTAGAACAAAGTTTCTGACCGGAGTTACTCAGTATTTTATGTTTAATGAAGGTTTCAGAACTGGACATAATTCCAGTATTTAGTTTCTGACCTGAATTACTGCAGATTTTCAGTGTAATAAAGGTTTCAGAACTGGACATAATTCCAGTATTTAGTTTCTGACCCGAATTACTGCAGACTTTCAGTGTAATAAAGGTTTCAGAACTGGACATAATTCCAGTATTCAGTTTCTGACCCGAGTTACTACAGATTTTCAGTGTAATAAAGGTTTCAGAACTGAACATAATTCCAGTATTTAGTTTCTGACCTGAATTACTGCAGATTTTCAGTATAATAAAGGTTTCAGAACTGGACATAATTCCAGTATTTAGTTTCTGACCCGAATTACTGCAGATTTTCAGTGTAATGAAGGTTTCAGAACTGGACATAATTCCAGTATTTAGTTTCTGACCTGAATTACTGCAGATTTTCAGTGTAATAAAGGTTTCAGAACTGGACATAATTCCAGTATTTAGTTTCTGACCTGAATTACTGATGGTACAATTCCTCTTACATCAGGTAAACAGAAAATTAATGCTGAGAGATTGGAGATAAATTGACAGGACGCCATAACTTACGGGATTGGAGGCAGACCAATCTTCTTGTAGTGTTTCCAACTCTCCAGGAAGGCAGGGCTGATCTTACTTTGTTTTGTATAGTACAGCAATACTCGGATGAGGTAGGGGCTGGAGCGACACCTACAGAAAAACAAAACATTTAGATGTAAGTAAACTAGGTCAGCATCAAAGCCTATGTGTAGGCTACTATTTAGTAGCTGTTATGTTTCTGGTTCATAATCCTTTTTATTCATTAAAAAAATCCATAATTTGATGGCTCAAAATTGCCATTTGCTGATATCAGCTGATGAGGTATATGTATATTTTGCTGTCGACAAGCCTGTACATTGGTGGTGTGTATCTGTTTTTGCTGATGTGTTATTACCTGTTGAGGAGTTGTCTCTCTGCTGAGTGGTTATAGGACAGGTAACCAAGGGCAATGGCGGCGTTACCCCGGACCTGTTCAGCCTTATGTTGTAGTAGAGTACAAAGATGTTCCACGGCGTGGATAGATACCATAGCTGCTGGAACACCTACAAAAACAAAGTTATGTAAACTGAGAATAGACATCAAACAGACAGCACAGCTTCTGGATACCTACTACATAATTCTATAGACTTGTGGTAAACTTCAATATAACAGGTATTCATTACAGGTGAACCCTACAAATCTGCAACTCCCTACATAGGACAGGTGTCACATTACAGTAACACAGGTATTAGTTACAGGTGAACCCTACAAATCTACTACTCCCTACATAGGACAGGTGTCACATTACAGTAACACACAGGTATCAGTAACAGGTGAACCCTACAAATCTACTACTCCCTACATAGGACAGGTGTCACATTACAGTAACACAAGTATTAGTTACAGGTGAACCCTACAAATCTACTACTCCCTACATAGGACAGGTGTCACATTACAGTAACACAAGTATTAGTTACAGGTGAACCCTACAAATCTACTACTCCCTACATAGGACAGGTGTCACATTACAGTAACCCACAGGTATTAGTTACAGGTGAACCCTACAAATCTACTACTCCCTACATAGGACAGGTGTCACATTACAGTAACCCACAGGTATTAGTTACAGGTGAACCCTACAAATCTACTACTCCCTACATAGGACAGGTGTCACATTACAGTAACACAGGTATTAGTTACAGGTGAACCCTACAAATCTACAACTCCCTACATAGGACAGGTGTCACATTACAGTAACACAGGTATCAGTTACAGGTGAACCTACAAATCTACTACTCCCTACATAGGACAGGTGTCACATTACAGTAACCCACAGGTATTAGTTACAGGTGAACCCTACAAATCTACAACTCCCTACATAGGACAGGTGTCACATTACAGTAACACAGGTATTCATTACAGGTGAACCCTACAAATCTACTACTCCCTACATAGGACAGGTGTCACATTACAGTAACCCACAGGTATCAGTAACAGGTGAACCCTACAAATCTACAACTCCCTACATAGGACAGGTGTCACATTACAGTAACACAGGTATTAGTTACAGGTGAACCCTACAAATTTACAACTCCATACATAGGACAGGTGTCACATTACAGTAACACAGGTATCCATTACAGGTGAACCCTACAAATCTACAACTCCCTACATAGGACAGGTGTCACATTACAGTAACACAAGTATTAGTTACAGGTGAACCCTACAAATCTACAACTCCCTACATAGGACAGGTGTCACATTACAGTAACACAGGTATTAGTTACAGGTGAACCCTACAAATCTACTACTCCCTACATAGGACAGGTGTCACATTACAGTAACACAAGTATTAGTTACAGGTGAACCCTACAAATCTACTACTCCCTACATAGGACAGGTGTCACATTACAGTAACACAGGTATTTGTTACAGGTGAACCCTACAAATCTACTACTCCCTACATAGGACAGGTGTCACATTACAGTAACACAGGTATTAGTTACAGGTGAACCCTACAAATCTACTACTCCCTACATAGGACAGGTGTCACATTACAGTAACACAGGTATTAGTTACAGGTGAACCCTACAAATCTGCAACTCCCTACATAGGACAGGTGTCACATTACAGTAACACAGGTATTAGTTACAGGTGAATCCTAAAGGTGAGCTGTTCCGCTCCATTTGTTTTCACACTTTTAGGGAAGCCATTATCGCCTCATAATGAAGTAAATACCGACAAGAGACTGGAGGAACCATTATCTTCTCATAATGACGTAAGTACCGACAAGAGACTGGAGACTGTTATCTTTTCATAATGACGTAAGTACCGACAAGAGACTGGAGGAACCATTATCTTCTCATAATGACGTAAGTACCGACAAGAGACTGGAGACCGTTATCTTCTCATAATGACGTAAATACCGACAAGAGACTGGAGACCGTTATCTTCTCATAATGACATAAGTACCGACAAGAGACTGGAGGAACCATTATCTTCTCATAATGACATAATGAAGTAAGTACCGACAAGAGACTGTACCGACAAGAGACTGGAACCATTATCTTCTCATAATGACGTAAGTACCGACAAGAGACTGGAGACCGTTATCTTCTCATAGACTGGAGGAACCATTATCTTCTCATAATGACGTAAGTACCGACAAGAGACTGGAGACCGTTATCTTCTCATAATGACGTAAATACCGACAAGAGACTGGAGACCGTTATCTTCTCATAATGACATAAGTACCGACAAGAGACTGGAGACCGTTATCTTCTCATAATGACATAAGTACCGACAAGAGACTGGAGGAACCATTATCTTCTCATAATGACGTAAGTACCGACAAGAGACTGGAGACCGTTATCTTCTCATAATGAAGTAAATACCGACAAGAGACTGGAGGAAGTACCGACAAGAGACTGGAGAGACCATTATCACCTTGTAATCAGTCAGGTAACACATGAGGAATACAGTACTTGTCAATACCTGTGAGTATTAAAGGTAACAAACACAGCAGTTAGCACTAGAGCTAGATCATCTATTCACACTGGTGTCCTGGACAAATGGAACATATAAAACTGACCGTCTTAAATTACCCTTTAACAAAAGAGACGAATGAAAAGTGAAGATTTGTAAATCCTTGTTGACAGGCTACATTGTACATTGGGAGAATACATCCTGGTGTCATATCATTTACAATTTTCTGTAGAAGTCTATACCTAAGGATCAGTTGTTGACGGGTAACACTGTAGATATTTCTGTATTAGAAACACAAACAAAATCTCTGTTTGAAGGCAACCTGTATTACAATATGAAGCTACATGTTCTCACATCAATAGGACTCACCGCGGTGCCTACCTCCCCACCATATTATACCTAATTCACTGTAACTGTGATATACCTACTAACAGTTCCATAGTCACCTAAACAGTCACTGAATCAACACACATTAATCACATACCCTTGTTCTATAAAACATACTGTGATCTGTCATTGTTCTACAGTATATATGTGGTAAAGCTTATCTACGGATTAAAAGGCTTTTTAAAGTCAGGTATTTTACACTTCAAAAGATTAAAAAATACATGTTAAGGCACCACAATGATATCTATATTGGTGAGAGTACCTGCTTAACTTGGTTGAACGGTTTTTGTCTCTGGACTTTTCTTCTGATGAATTCCATTAAAAACAAATAAATCAATTTAGAAGTCTACAAACACATCAGCAGAAGTCTTGTGGAACTGTAACTGATAGCCATGTAGGACTATATCATAACTACATTGTGACACATTGCCCTTAGTAAGGAGGTTCTCACCTGCCCGTGTGTGTCCCAGACGTGCTACACAATCTGTGGCCAGTGCCAGAGTATCATTAGAGGTAGAATCCTGTAAGAGGTCCACCAACAGTTTAATTCCTGCTGCTGAAGATAAAGCCTGCTCCTCGTCTGGGATAATCTTAGACAGAACCACGACCTGACAACATAAAATTGCAAGGAAATTCTGAAAATGTTACTCTCACCAAGAAGATCTACCTCACCACTACATTTATTAAAGCTAGAATAGAATAATGTAGCTGATGTCCACTTCAGTCGGGGGGTTTTTTTTTCAGAAAACCAGTGATTAATTTAGATATACCAGAAATAGTGACCTCTAGACCTGAAACCATGCCAACACAGATCTAGAAAGTCTTCCTTCAATTGTGTTAATTTGACATCAAACATGATGTAGCATATTACTTGATTCATCTAAGAATGTCAATCCCTCTTCATCTTTAGAAGGTCACAGCTTGTAAACAAAAGGGCTTTGTAAACAAAAGGGCTTTCAATTTATTATTTAAACGTTAAAAAAATGTGGCTTTTGTATGAAGTTGGTTTGAATTGTTCATCAGGCTTACTGAACTATGTCTCACAAGGACTTTATAATAACTTAAAACATAAATGCTGCCATTCAGAACGATACATATTTGTCCCAGGCCAAAGAAATATTCACATTTTGATGCATAGAAAAGATTGTAAAATGGAAATTGAAATAATGAGTCAAATTCTCAACAGGAAAAACAGTGCATTAATTTTTAAATGATAAGTAAAGCATGACTAGTTTTAAAAAGATTGTTTAAAAACTGAAGGGACGTAAAAAACAGAAAAAACAATAATATACAATAGTTTCCCCATAATTTTAAAATGACAAAGCAATTAAGTAAAGCATAATTTTATGTACTGGTCAGAGAACCTACATTAAGTTCTAGAGAAATTTGTCAAAAGTTGAGGAATTAGGCCTCCCAATAGAATTAAAATTCTAAAAAAACAAAGGGCAATTACTTCTTCAAAAATTGTAGAATCAGAATGGTATGTAGAAAAACACAATTTCATATCATAGCTACAAAATCTACTAAGTCTGAAAGAAATAGGTGGAGAAGAGATAAAGATCTCCGGACAAGATTAATATTATGGATTTAACAAGAGGGAGCCACACATCCAGAACAGTCAAATCACATTGCCGTTCTAGAAAAGTGTCATAGTGAATATATCTACAAAGACTGAAAATCATCATTAGAAAACTGTGGGAAGGTGTGTAGGCAAAAAACAGTTTGTTAGAACCACATTGTACCATAATACATCCCCTCATGGGTTTAAATATTCCTCTAAATTACCTGTTGAAGGACTTAATAAAACTGATAACAAAGAAATATTTTTAAAGTTATTGAAAAATATAAGCCAACCTAAAATACCTCTGTTTGTCTGAGAAAAACAAAAATTTTATTCATTGGCTCAAGTCCAAAGAAATTGTATTTTCATTTTTTCATATTAGCCTAAGCAGATCATCATTTTAAGCATGAAGTTTTGAAAGTAAGAAAACACAGTTTGACATAAATATGATTGAAGAATTTGATTAGAAAGGGTTTACTATTTACCTGGAAAGCTGCGTTGCACCTGAAGTATTCATCATCCGACTGTAAAAATGGCACAAAGCAGTTGAAGCGCACGCCTCCCTGATCTGCTATACGCTTTTGTTGATTGATATTGTTATAAGCGAAGGCAGCTAAAGCCGATCCAGCCAGCAAACGAACCTCAGGTATACTAGAGTACATCATCTTCACGATTCGTACGTAACTGAAGTCAATATTCTGGTAGATATCGTCAAGTGCCGCCTGGTTACCTATAACAAATATAAATATTATTGATTAGTGCCACCTGGTTACTTATATAATATATAAATATTATTGATTAGTGCCACCTGGTTACCTGTATAAAATATAAATATTATTGATTAGTGCCACCTGGTTACCTGTATAAAATATAAATATTATTGATTAGTGCCACCTGGTTACCTGTATAAAATATAAATATTATTGATTAGTGCAACCTGGTTACCTGTATAAAATATAAATATTACTGATTAGTGCCACCTGGTTATCTATATAATATCTAAATATTATTGATTAGTGCCACCTGGTTACCTATATAATATATAAATATTATTGATTAGTGCTGCCTGGTTACCTGTATAAAATGTAAATATTATTGATTAGTGCCACCTGGTTACCTATATAATATATAAATATTATTGATTACTGCCACCTGGTTACCTGTATAAAATATAAATATTATTGATTAGTGCAACCTGGTTACCTATATAATATATAAATATTATTGATTAGTGCCACCTGGTTACCTGTATAAAATATAAATATTATTGATTAGTGCAACCTGGTTACCTATAACAAATATAAATATTATTGATTAGTGCCACCTGGTTATCTATATAAAATATAAATATTATTGATTAGTGCCACCTGGTTACCTATATAATATATAAATATTATTGATTAGTGCCACCTGGTTACCTGTATAAAATATAAATATTATTGATTAGTGCCACCTGGTTACCTGTATAAGATATAAATATTATTGATTAGTGCCACCTGGTTACCTATATAATATATAAATATTATTGATTAGTGCCACCTGGTTACCTGTATAAAATGTAAATATTATTGATTAGTGCCACCTGGTTACCTATATAATATATAAATATTATTGATTAGTGCCACCTGGTTACCTGTATAAAATATAAATATTATTGATTAGTGCCACCTGGTTACCTATATAATATATAAATATTATTGATTAGTGCCACCTGGTTATATAAAATGTAAATATTATTGATTAGTGCCACCTGGTTACCTATATAATATATAAATATTATTGATTAGTGCTACCTGGTTACCTGTATAAAATATAAATATTATTGATTAGCGCAACCTGGTTACCTATATAATATATGAATATTATTGATTAGTGCCACCTGGTTACCTGTATAAAATGTAAATATTATTGATTAGTGCCACCTGGTTACCTGTATAAAATGTAAATATTATTGATTAGTGCCACCTGGTTACCCGTATAAAATATAAATATTATTGATTAGTGCTGCCTGGTTACCTGTATAAAATATAAATATTATTGATTAGTGCCACCTGGTTATCTATATAAGATGTAAATATTATTGATTAGTGCCACCTGGTTATCTATATAAAATGTAAATATTATTGATTAGTGTCACCTGGTTACCTTTATCTCAAATCTTTTACTCCAAGCCACAGAAGTAAGAATGACTAAAAAAATAATGGTTTATTATAACAAGAGATCCTTCGGGCCCGTTTCATTCACCTTCATCTAAAAGCTTAGCAGTGGTATACATGCCTATAGGCTGTTTATTTCAAATATTTTAAAATTACAGCACAGTCACTTAACCTATTTGTTAGGTCAGGACCAATGGGTAAATTCTAACATCATTAATTCATAATTTGGGCACCCAAAATTTAAGTCAAAATTGATTTTCAGGATCCAAAAAATTGATCTAGGTTTTTTCACCTAACGCCTTAGTCCAACAATATTAAGTCTTACACTTAAAAGTATTCTCTTTTGTTTGTTTTCATCTCACTTCCTAACTTTCAATTGCCTTCTGATTCATTATAGGTACAACACAAATAATGAAAAAAACAGATCTTAAACATATTGAAATATAAATCATTTACTCCCGATAACAAATATTGGCAGTACTCGGGGTAAACAACTGTTTTATAAATCTTGACAATTGATCGATGATTATGAATTGTGGCCCACCAGTCTGGCTTACTCTTTCCTCTAGTCTGACTTAACATTTTCATTTTAAAGTAAAATACAGATTGTCATTAGTCTGGAAACAATACAAACAAGTTGAAAACATACAAAAAACACATATTTACATTTAGTATATCCAGGTATAAACAAGACTTCAAATGGAGTTTCTAGTCATCAATCTGACAAAGCCCTGAGGAAAGTTGGACCCTCAAACATCATAGACTAGTAATTCATCAAGTTAGACAGGATTATCTATACAAACAATTTCTAAAGTCAATACACATACAGCTTGAGCTTTAGATCTGGTTATTCACGATACAAAACACAAAAATTCATGATCTATGATTTCTTGAAATACACCTTGCTGTGTACAAACATTTTGTAACTTTTAAGTGTTGTATAACTATCTTACACAGGGCTTTATTATTCTCCATAGTCAAACAGAAAAATCTTCAGTCACAAGGGTTTTGTATCTGGTCCCTACAGGAAGACCATTAAAAATGATCTACTCTTTCCATGCTATAATTTGTAATAGGCGACTAAACTTTATACTGCCTCACTTTTTGGCCTTCAGTTGAGAGTTTTTGCCATTGTGAGGAAGGCTTTGTGTTCTGTTTCCTTGCCAAGAAATTCTAGAATGTATAGTAGTTACTACTTAACACTCAGTACCTGTTGTCAATATAATGTGACTGAGTGATGTCTATTGTTGGAGGCCTACAACAGTACATTTCATTATAATAACACTATAAAGTCACCTTCAGTTCACATTTCGAACTCTCAAAAGGTGAATTGTTCAAAGAAATTCACTAAATTAAAAGCTCCTGCCTACAAGACATCAGTAACTAAATACAATTCAACATTCAAAATATCATTGTTATTGCAATAACAGCATCATGATACACCTGGATATGTCTTGTCACAGCATCATGATACACCTGGATATGTCTTGTCACAGCATCATGATACACCTGGATATGTCTTGTCACAGCATCATGATACACCTGGATATGTCTTGTCACAGCATCATGATACACCTGGATATGTCTTGTCACAGCATCATGATACACCTGGATATGTCTTGTCACAGCATCATGATACACCTGGATATGTCTTGTCACAGCATCATGATACACCTGGATATGTCTTGTCACAGCATCATGATACACCTGGATATGTCTTGTCACAGCATCATGATACATCTGGATATGTCTTGTCACAGCATCATGATACACCTGGATATGTCTTGTCACAGCATCATGATACACCTGGATATGTCTTGTCACAGCATCATGATACACCTGGATATGTCTTGTCACAGCATCATGATACATCTGGATATGTCTTGTCACAGCATCATGATACACCTGGATATGTCTTGTCACAGCATCATGATACACCTGGATATGTCTTGTCACAGCATCATGATACACCTGGATATGTCTTGTCACAGCATCATGATACACCTGGATATGTCTTGTCACAGCATCATGATACACCTGGATATGTCTTGTCACAACATCATGATACATCTGGATATGTCTTGTCACAGCATCATGATACACCTGGATATGTCTTGTCACAGCCTCAAAACAACACCACTATAGAGCGCATCCTCTCATACACTTTGATAATTACCAAAAACATTCACCTCATATACACTGGGATGTGTTTATTGATATTGGTAGAACGTTTAACTATAAAACAAACACCACATAACCACTGTTCTGTCAGTGCCCTGATCTCTGTACCACATAACCACTGTTCTGTCAGTGCTCTGATCTCTGTACCACATAACCACTGTTCTGTCAGTGCCCTGATCTCTGTACCACATAACCACTGTTCTGTCAGTGCCCTGATCTCTGTACCACATAACCACTGTTCTGTCAGTGCCCTGATCTCTGTACCACATAACCACTGTTCTGTCAGTGCTCTGATCTCTGTACCACATAACCACTGTTCTGTCAGTGCTCTGATCTCTGTACCACATAACCACTGTTCTATCAGTGCCATGATCTCTGTACCACATAACCACTGTTCTGTCAGTGCCCTGATCTCTGTACCACATTGCAGTCAGATATCAACAAGTCTGTGAATTCTATATAACTTTTTATAATGCTGCTGTTGCTGGCTAAATGAAATGGTACTTAAAGAATTCAATTAAAAAGATTCTTGTCAATATAATTAATGATTTTGCTCTCTACATATTGTTCTAGAAGGAGAATTGTGCCCAATGCTATTCATGTGACGTTGTAAACCTTTTACAGCCATGTTGGGAATTAAAAACATTGCTTTTAAACTCATATAAAAGAAACATGTTGTAATACCTGTTTAATAAACCACTTATAAATAGGTGATAAACTAGTCAGGTGTGTAATTGTGTATTATAAATCCTATACACAATCAATGTTTCTTCTATATGGACACTGCTGAGATCTACGTCGACAAGAAACGTCACACTTTGTAAGACAATATAACTATGGATGGGAACTTTAATTCTATTGTGTTTAATTAAATAACCACACCAATATTCCATGTAAGTAAACCTTTAAAAAACATAAACAATTTGATCCAATTGCTTGACTGGTATCAATAAATTCAATGTCAATTAATTCTCATTATGAGCCAAGTGACATTAAGAATGGGTCTGTTTTTAGATAGCTAATTTAGCAGGCGGTAAAACATTACACACTGCCTCACAATTTGTAGTTTATGTGACATTTATCTGCATTAATTCTGCTACTTAACGTCCCAACTTCAGTTAAACTAACAGTTCACCAGAAATTACCTTTTCAGTCTTAAAACACATAGACAACCTCCTCAATCCTAAAACACACAGACAACCTCCTCAATCTTAAAACACACAGACAACCTCCTCAATCTTATAAACAACCTCCTCAATCTTATAGACAACCTCCTCAATCTTAAAACACATAGACAACCTCCTCAATCTTATAGACAACCTCCTCAATCTTATAGACAACCTCCTCAATCTTATAGACAACCTCCTCAATCTTATAGACAACCTCCTCAATC